TGTATCAATCCCGATGGGATCAATAAATGTTTTTTAATTGATTCACATTACTTTCAAGACAGTTGATACGTAGTCATTCGACAAGAACATACCAGAATATATATAAAAAAAATTGTATAGGCAAAGTTATAGAGTGGTTTGAAAGCTGTAAAAAAATTGCCAGGTTCAATAAAAATAAAAGAAAGAAGTTCATTTGCATGTGGGTGTGAAGAATACAAGTGAAAAGAAAACAACAATAAGCGAGAATTTAAAAAAAGTTTGCATTTATTCCATTGCTATTTTATTACAAACAAATGAACATATACAAGAATGAAAATAACGCAATTAGATTGGATTAAAATGTTATAGAGCATATAATAATAGTTCTGTATCAAATAATATAACTACATGTACAAGAAAATTCAGCCATTTTTAATCTTTCATTAAGATACAAATTTAAAAGCCTTAAGCAGAATTTCGAGTGACAGGATATTTCATTAAGAATTTCAAAGTTAGTTAAAAATAGAGATTAAATACTAGGTGAGAAAGAGTAATATTCTGAGTTATTCACTTCATAATCCTGATTATAAACAAAATTATGTTACAAAAATAAATACTTTATATATGTTTTTTTTTTCTTTTCTCAACTGTCAAAACATTACCTGGTCTGCAGTGAGTTATGAGGAATAATCTACAAAACATTGACGCAAATTTTTAGAATTCTAGTCTAGAATGAAGAAAAAAATTTAAACATATTAAAGGTTGTAATTATAACGCACTTATAAAAGCGAGAGAAAAATACTATTTAGTTAGGGAAATCATTAGTGAGGAAGGTGGACTGAGAACATCCAAACATGTTTGATTGCCGTAGAAGACGAAGTTAAGGGAGGCCGAAAGGCAGCAAGCATTACCTTTCATTAGGTAATCAAACTAACTTTGATTTCAGTCTCATCTTCTTCAGTTGTAATTCGTTATGATAAAGCTTTCAGGTAACGAATTACAAATGTAATACGTTACCTGAAAGCTTTAGAATTTAATTTCACCATATAAATTAAGAAATTTATACTAAGTAAGACTTGTTCACAATTTCATTTGTGTTTTCTTTACAATAAAGGAAAATGAATTTTCGTAAATATGCCCAAAAGCCAAGCAAAATTTGCCGAATAGGGTAAATTTTTGGGACACACCTTTTCACTATTTGAGAACAAGTTGTAGCACTTACAGCTCATGAAACTTAGTTAAAAGTAGCGCTGGAAAAAGGGGCCATATGTGCCAACTGACGCAAAGAGAATAGGTAGGTAGACGTCAACCCTCAGATAACAAGACACAATCCGACTTTGAATTTTTTAATACTATTTTCATTTTAAATACTTTCTGTTTGGGAACATTTTAAAAAATTGTTGCAGGCATCTGTCCTGAAACCTTTGAATTAAAATGTAGTTTAAGCTAAAATCTTACTTACAATATCTAGAAACTACTGGCATAGCACAATTTCATAACAATGTTTGATAAAGCGAGGTGTGCGTTTCCTGAATTTCGGTATCAAATTTGCATTTCTTTCAGCGACACCATTTTTACCAGATAAGTCATTAGTGCAAACCAAAGGTTCCAGAGAAACATCTATCTTAAACAGCTTAGAATATCATCTTGATGTTCACTATATAGTTCATGAGGACATGGACTCCACGCACCTTCTCCGCTGCTCTGCAATTTGCAGAAATTCTATCACTGAACGCTATTGGGAAGCTAGAGACATGTTGTGATTAATAGACTCTGTTGCTGCATCTTTGTTTCTGTTCTTATTTTTATTAGATGTTTAGGTATGCTGTTACTGTCTATAATCTGCCATTGGAAATAAAATTTTTTTTCACTATATATATATATTTTACACCAAGATACTATTATTTATATCCCTGTGGCAGAATTTTTCGGGCATTCTGCGACAAAACTCTCCAGCATTAATATCTTTCTATAATACTTTCAATGATAGCAAAGATGCATGCTACTAATTTAAGGTAACAAAAATGCCGTGTTTACTAAAACAAAAAAACAATATAATTTTTTTAATTAAATATGTAATATTTTTTAGATTCTAACATGGGCGATATTCTCGAATTTTGTTAGGGGGGGGGGAAGCAATAATTATTTCTTTAATCGCATTTTTCAAATCATTATCACATTAAAAAAATAATTAAAAATCATGAAATCTGTAGCACTAATTATCGAAAAACAGATTAACGGGCACTTCACAAAGGGGTTGCTCAAATGTATGTTTTGTTTCAAGATTTAATTGTTGTAATAAATAATATCGCATAAAATATATAGGGTTTTAAAAACTTTGTGGAAATCAAAAGCAATAACTGCCAAAAAAATCAATAGAATCATTGTCTTAAAAAGCAAATGATGAAAATTTCCCATATAGCCTGAAATATATCACGATATCTAAAAGCCACATGAAAATCAATGTCAATAACTGCCGAAAAATAAAATCAAATGGATTTACGATATCGGCATATATTCAGCTCTTCAAAAAATGATTATATAAATGCGCGAACCAAATTTGACGTGTAAATTTCTGCTTTTACTTCATAAAATAAAAGTTCTTTTGTAGATCGTTCTGCGGCAATGTCGAAGCGATTCTGCTATGGGAATCTATATAAACTCAGAAATATCCATATAATATTTTTCCACTACCAGTAGCAAATGCAAAAATAACGTCAATGAAACAAAATTAACTTTATAATTTTGGCAATCTAAATTGGAAGGAGATATTAATTTTTGTATGAGAGGGAGAAGGGGACAGTATTTCATTAATTTCTTCTTATTATGATAAGAGTTTTCATTCTAAAGGAAACAGTTTTACCTTTGATTTCCTTATTTCCATTAAAAGCTGGAGGAAAGGAAGATTTAAAGGTCCTATTCAGTTTGGAAGAAAAAAAATAATAATTTACTACCTCCATATTAACCTAAGGTTAATTATACACCCAGAATTTCTTTATTTATTCAATAACTAATAAATATTTTTCAGATACTTCTTGTTTCATTTTATTCATTAAAATGTGCTCCATTGGAATTAGTTACTAAGTTTTAAATATTAAGGTTGTAAGTAATTTTAAAACTTTGTCAAAGTTTAAAGCTCTTCACAGTTCAAGTTTTAAATATGCCTACATTAAAATTAAAAATTCAGTAATTGAGTTCTACAGAACACATTTCAGTGAAGAAAATTAAAACAAAAATTATTCAAAAATATTAATTAGTTATAAAGGAAATAATATAAATAAGGAAATTCTGAACATATAATTCTATGTAAATTAATAGTAACTTTATAGGTACTCCATAAATAAAATCCTTTCTCTATCTGAAAGGGATCAATGAATGAATAGTTTGGTTGAATTAGTTGTTTTGAATACATATAAACTGATGTACAATATCTCTGAAAAAGAACACGAGTGTACAGAACATGACATGAAAGTGAACAGAAGTCATTTTAATGTAACTTTGTAAGAAACATACTAAAAATAACATAAGAAAAATAAACATAATTTACAATTTTAACTAATTGTAATGGACTCAATAGGTCTAAAAAAATTTTTTTGGAATATTAAAAACTAGCACATATTTTTGAGTTGTCCATAATGCTGAAAAGCCATTTATTGTAATTGTAGGGCAAATTTTCCATTTCAATATTACACTTCTTTATTGTCGACAAATGCATGAACCAGAGTATCACTTGCTATGAGTTCTTCTTCCTTTATATATATTTTTTCTTTCCCAAAAATGTTCAGTTCTTTTTCATTTACTACAAAATGTTAAATGAAAATCACTTGGCCAAAATTATTTTCAAAATTAGTGACATTTTTGGGTAGAAAACAGTTTATAATTAATAAAGAATCAGAATAAAAAGTAACATTCTGGCTATGTTCGGCGGCAGAAAATAATAACATAGGATGGGAAAGAAAAAAAACTTGGTTCCACAATATAATAACTGCTTCTAGGAATCGCAATAAAAATTAGAGAAAGGAACTGTGACTTTGCATTTCAATTTTATTTATTTATGTTTAAAGGTTTTTGACTAGCTACAAGACACATATTTACTGTTTCCTGATGAAAAATAAATCCTGGTGAAAGTGCAACATCAATTTATTCCCTTATATGAGAATGCTTTTATCTACCCTAGCAAGAATTTTACCTTGGCCCCAGTTAGGCTCAAAATTGACTGAATATGGGTATTATATTGGGTCAATATTGGTTGTTGTAGTTGTAGTTAACTTACGTCGCACTAGAGCTGCACAATGGGCTATTGGCGACGGTCAGGGAAACACTCCTGAGGATGATCCAACGACATACCATCACAATTTTGATCCTCTGCAGAGGGGATAGCCAATATTGGTCTTTATGGGGCCAATATAGGGCGTTCATTGGATGAATAATGAACATAAAATATCTGGTGAATTTAACAATTTCTATACAGGGCCAATATTGGTTGTAAACTGGCTGTAAAATATTGAATGAATTAGATAATTTTATATAGGGCCAATATCGGAAAATAATGGCCCTACGAACCCTTATTGCAACAAGATTTGTGAATATTGGTCTGATGAAGGCTAAAGCTATTTTGCTGCTAGGATACGTATAGATATGGTATTTACAAAATTAAAAGTTCTGATTCGGCCGTAAATAAAAGTATGCAAGGCACTAGATATAAGGCCGCTGTGTACTAACAATGAAATCAGGCTTGATATGAGCAAGGATGGAGTTTGCAAGTTACATGAATTAAATATTCTCAATCCAATAGATCATGATTATTCCTAAAAGTAAATTATTAAAAGAAACTATGTACTACATTGCAAATGTACCAAATGTATTTTCTTAAAACTGTATCTTAGTTTAGATTGTGAGTAGGTTATTTTAAAAATTTTATCTTAAGCATAAGCTTGCTATAGTGATTGAATGCTATTTTTAAATTACTGATTGAGCCTGCTTCATCATCACTGTGTAATCTAAGATGAAATAACATTGGATACATCAAGAAAGTGTACTTAATACAACTTTAAAAAAACAGTTAAAACTTTCATAATTAATTCATGGGATAGATAAATAAAAAGTTTTAATTCAGTAAAAAAAGCTCAACTAAGAACTAACAAAACAGGCATACATTATAAAAAATTACAACATTTAAAAATTTAAACAAGTGGATTATAAAATAACATAGATGCAATGGTGCAAATTATTCTCAGTCTAATATTTCCCCTAAAAGCAGTTTTTTTTTAGTTTGAAACTTCGCTAAAGATTACAGTCTTTTTTTTAAAAATTAACATAACTTTTTCAAAATATTTTTGATATCTTTTTCGTTAGCAAAGGAAAAAAAAATATTAGTTTTTAAGCAATTTATGAAAAAGTAGCATGCATGTTAAAAGTAATAAAAACCAAAATATACCTACTGAAATTATAATAATTTATTAAATTAAATTTAAGGTCTTGGTTAAGGAATTTAAACTAATAAAATTGACATAAAGTTTTTTATAAGGAAATTTTTTTTAAATTTTTTTCAAAATAAAAAGTTTTTAACAATTTTTTCTAATTTGACTAAAAATTTACCCATGGTTGTCTGAATTTACCCCCCCCCTCCCCGAGATATTTTGCACTCCTGCATACAAAGACATAAAAACACTAGTTCTTAGTTAAAGCAGAGCTCATTCTAAGCAGAAAAAAGGGCAGGGTGCAAAAGTTTAAAAAAGGGGCATTATTATTCTAAAAAGGCAATAATTTCTTTCTATGGGCTTTACACGTTCTATTAAAAAACATTGTAGATTATAAAAAGAAGTTTTTTTTTTTTTTCTNACAGTAGCAAAGCAATCATATTTACTCATTTTTATTAATAAATTAACATATATATCGAGTTATTGAGCTAATTAACTTAGTAATTTATTTAAAATGCTTGCATATATTAATAAAATAATAAATGTATGTTTTTAAGTGTTTGTAGATATGATTTAATAATTAAAATGATTAATAATAATTATGATTTAATGAGAGTGGAAGTAACTGCAAACTTTCAATGACAAGTGCAACAAAGGGGTATGATGGCTATTGAATCTATGTATTGACAGCAACAACAAACTAAATAAAAAGAGTTAAAAATAACAAAAGTTTAAGAAATCCATAGTAGAGTTTGAGGGGAAAACAAATTAGAGTTGAGGAAAGAAAAGGCATGAGTCTTTTACATCAGGGGCAACAGGGTGGATTCTTTTGACTAAAAGGGCAGCAGGGTGCTTCGCCCTGTTTACACTGCCTAGAATGAGCTCTGGTTAAAGGACTTTCTTTTTTCAAAAAACAGAAGCATAGATCAAAGCTTTTAAATTACAAAGTTGACGGAGCTTTGCAATTACGGTGCGTCTTAAAGTGATCATCAAAACATTTTTTTACTCTAAATGTCTTATGGCACGTGTCACATTCATAAGGTTTTTCCCCTGTATGAATCCTGAAATGAATTTTCAAAGCATATCTACTTGAAAGCCCTTTCTGACACACTTCACACACATATGGTTTTTCACCAGTATGACTTCTATAGTGTGCTTTCAAATCTGTAAGACTTCGAAAAGCTTTATTACACACATTGCACACATGTGCTCTGAAGTTCAAATGTCCTTTCACATGACTTCTCAGGCAACCTTTATTATTATATGATTTAAGACATATTTCACAAGAATAAGGTTTTATCCCAGTATGCTCAACTATGTGTTGAGTAAGCTCTATTTTTTGACAGAATTTCAAGCTGCACAGATTACATTCATATGGCGTCTCCCCAGAGTGAGTATTTAAATGATCGTTGAATTTCTGTTTCCTATCAAACCCTTTTTTACAAATATCACACGTATAAAATTTCACACCCTTGTGAATCAATTCATGGCGTTTTCTGTTCGATACATTGTTAAATGTTTTGCCGCAATCTTTACAGAAGTGCTCTGAAGGAGTCTTTCCTGTATGCACAAATGAATGAATTTTAAGATTGAATTTGTTCTTAAAGGTCTTGTCACAATCATCGCAGGTATACAGCTTCTTAACAGCAGATTTTTTTTTACTGTTCTTTTTAAAATGAATAACGTAATGATTAACTAATCCTCTTTTATGCTGAAAAGATAAACCACACAAATCACATTGATAAAGTTTACCTTCTTCATGCATTTTGGTATGATTTTTAAAGCCAATATCACTAGTAAAACCCTTATTACACACAGAACAAGTAAAAGGATAATTTTTAGTATGAAAATTAATGTGTCTGTTTAGCCTAAAAGGAAGCCTGAATCGTTTAGGACACAGATGGCACCCATGTGGAAATTCTTCTGCATGAAATTTATGTTGATGTTTTTGAAGTTGATGTTTATTTGGAAAAACTTCACAGCAAATCTTACATTTCGCTTCAACAATTTCTATACCATGAGTAGCCTTGTGCATTTTAAACAAATACTTCTCTACAAAAGATTCTTTACAGATTTCACATACATATTTAGTTTTACTCTCAACTTTCAGTTTAACTTCAGATACTGAAACTTTCTGAGCTTCAGCTATAGGTTCTGAAGGTAAATTTAAAACAGATTCACATATCTTTTCAGATTTTATTTCTGGTGCAGTTAATACATTGGTAGACGGATATATGACATAAAGTATATTATTTCCTTTAATAGGTGTATGAACAGTTTGTGGGGTGGATATATTGTTACCACTGTATGATGATGAAGAAACAAGAGATGGCACATTATCACATGTTAATTTTAAAGGTAAAAGCTTATTAACATTACTTTGAGTATCAATGAGATTGATACTCTTATTGTTATGGCTCAAGTTATGAAGCTGGACGAGCCACTGTTCTTTAAAATCTTTTTTACAGATTTTACAGCTGTATACAGATTTAAGACCTTGATGTTTTGAATCTGTAGAATCATTTTTCAAATCTTTTTGTGGAATATTGAATAACGATAAAAGTTTAAGAAGAGAAATTCCTTTATTATTCTTTTGAAGATGCTGTGTGTAATAATGGGAAATATAAGCTGGTATTTTATTAAAAGGTTGGAAACAAATATCGCATTTGTATGGCCATTTATACACTAAACTATTTTTGTTTGTATTTAGCTGAGATTCTCCATGCGAGCTACTTTCTAAAGATTTTGAATCTTCAGAAACTAATACATTGCATGTCACTCGATTAGCAGAAGAATCAATTAAATTCTTACTATCTTGTGAAGAAACTTTAAAATTGGAATTGCGGATTTGAGATGATGAAGCAGAAGGCAAATTAACTTGTTGAAAGGGTTTAATCGAATACTCGTAGGAAGTAGGAACCAGAAGAAGCTCGTTACTTTTATTTGGAGTGATCTTCTCAACCTTGATATTCAGGGAGGGTAATAGAGACATAACAGCAGAAATAAACACCGTATTCTTTTTAATTGGTAGTTTTCATTTGTTTATAAATGTTTCTACGTTTTCGACGACTTATTTCTGTTCGTTACAAACTCGATTACAGAAAATGCAAGACTGATAAAGTAAAATTCTCAGTAAAGCTCGCAGGCGCTTTTAGAAATCTGATTGGCGCAATGACATTCACGGAAATAATACTGAGTTGTGATTGGAGACTCACACTACATGTCGTTGACACGTGCAAGAATGCTAAGAAACTATATGGGAGCATTCCCACTGCGTGCGAAAAAAACGCATTTGCGAAAGAGAACCTACTGATAAAATACATTTACCCGCTAATTAAATCCTTATCTACATCTTTAAATTCGGAAATGCGATTTTTTTTGCATTGCAAACTGAATGCTCCTTATAAAGGGCCATTCATGCTGCATGCTAATGCAGAGATGCGAGCAAAAATATTGACCCGCAACAAATTAGCCAATCAAATTCTTGTTTTTATATGATGTTTTTCTTTGCATGTGAACAAATCGCACCCAGTAAAAATGCCTCATTACAGTGGGTGCAGCGATCATCAAATCTTAAGTTCTGTGCTATTTCGTAGTTAATGAGCTATTGGCGACGGTCTAGGAAACATCCCTGAAGATGACCCGAAAACATGCCATCTCAATTTTGATCCTCAGCAGAGGGGGTGGCACCCCCACTAACTTTGTTAGCTCGACGACCTGCACCCGAAGTCGAGCACTTTACGGTAGAACAGTTTAACGAGGACCAATACCGCACACCCTCAGTCTCTACACAGACTAATCCAAGTGGTGACCCACCCACACACTGACCGCAGTCAGTGACGCTCGACTTCGGTGATCTGCTGGGGACAGTGTTTTAACCACCAGTCCACAACGGGACATTCAAATCTTGATGTCAGTCCTAGAATTTCGTTGATTGTCTTCACAAAACAAATATTTTGAGGACGAAAATATTACCATATTTCAACGTGTGTCCTCAAATTTCTCCGAAAACATATAATCTTTGTTGTATGGTACGAGGCGGTACTTTCCATTTACGTTGCACTAGAGCTGCACACTGGGCTGTTAGCGACGTTCTTGAAAACATCACTGAGGATGATTCAGAGACAGCATATATACGTCACATCCCGTTCACAGGGAGGACACATTCACACACCATCCATCCACAAATCGCAATTTAGACCTGAACCAGAGCATAAACAATATCAGATCCAGTACTTCCAGAGAAATTGATTTTTTCATGGGAACTTGGAGGACTTTATGAACCTGACAGATTTAGCTTGCACCAGTCCCCATTTTGTACATAGAAAGTCTTCGGCTGCTGGGGGGTCGAACTTATGACCTCTCGGACATGTGTTCAACACTCTACCAGCCAGGCGGTCCTCCTTTTCATATGCAGTAAAATATCAACAAAAAAATAATACAGTAGTGCGCATGGTTTTTTTAAAAACAAGATAGTTTTGACTTACAAAGAATACAAACACATTAAAAGTCAAACCACCCGGTTTTACTTTAGTGGAGTAAAACCGTGTAGTTTGACTTTTCCTGGGAAAAAAATCATTTCATGTCCTTCTTTCTCAAACACTATTATTGCTATTTGTGGAGAGAATTGGTGGACCAAGCCAAATTTTCCAGTAGGATAATGCGTCAATTTACATTGAAAAATTTTCCCAGTGGTGAGTTTTGGATAACAGGGTGCTTGTCATGAATGGGATGTCCTTTCCCTTAACTTTGATCTCCAAGAAAATGTGAGGGCTATTCTCAATATACCAAAAAGAAGCGGCTTCAGTTTGTAGCAGAATTGAAAATTATGGTTGATGACTATAAACTATTGCATCGACTTCTACAGGTAGCCAATTTCAATCGCCAATAAAGCATTTTATATCCTCATCCACATGCCTTTTTTTAACATTGACAGAGTCAATGGTAAAAAGTGGCACATTTGGATAGGAAAAATGCTTAACAGTAAAAGCATTTTCCGAAGCAAATCTTACAACAAATTCCTGCTTTTGAAAAACAGGGTTTGGTTTAATCGAACATGGAATTGGTAAAAAAGGGAAAACAACCCATAATTAAAATGACTACAACAAATTTGCTAAAAATTGCTCCATTTTTAAAAATACTTATTTTAATTATGAAATTTCAAAAACACAATTATTTTTAAATCTGCAAAAACTCATAGACTTTGCTATTTCCCATAGCCTTTGCCATTTTTTTTGATACTTAGGAATACAAATAAGGGTTCTAAATACCATATTATGCATAGAAAATTTTTAAAATTTGAAAGATTTAAAAAAAAGAAAGAAAATATAAAAACTAAAATGTAATGAAATTATTTATAAAAATATTAAGTTACTTGCCAGATATAGCAGTATTATAAATTAATACATTGAATAACATAATAAAACAAAATTATCCATGGAAAATATATTTGTAAATATTTTATATAAATCACTTGCAGATTCTATGATAGAAATCATTTACAGCCTTAAATACCAGAGTTGGCAGTTGCTTGGACCTGAAAATCTGAAACACTTTGTATTTATTTTTATGTCGAAATTATCTACTGCTAATGTAAATTGGCTAACTTATTATTGAAATAAACTTGCAAGACATGTTTAAAAAAATCATATCAAGAGATCGTACAACAAACATGAAACTTTGAATTTAATTAGAAATACAGTAGAGTGGCAATTAACTGGATCAAAAATGATCCAGATAACGGAATATCAGGATAATTGGACAACTTTAAAAAATAGTTATGAGAACTTTCCTTCACAATTTTTTAAGGCTTAGAATTAGCAATTGTAGTACTGCCTATTATAACATATTGCAAATAGCGTGTTTAAAAGTTTTCTTGAAAACTTTAATCAAAACCTGTTTCATTGTTAGAAACTATAAGCCACTCACATTGAAATTGGGCAAGAGAATGAGAGTTTCTTTTCAAGGACCCCGGGACAGAAGAAACCATTTTTTGACCCCTTTCAGATAGTCTGAAAATAAAGAAACGGGTAAATTAGCGTTCAGTTAAATGACACACTACTGTAGTGTAAAATATTTATACCTCAATATATTTATTTTGGATAAAAGGAAAATATTTAAAAAAGATCTTGTCAGAATACAAATATATAAAAAATTTAATCAAGCAAATGAATATAGTAACACATACCATGACAACTAATGAATGAATGAATGATTGGAATTTAATAACACAAAAACAAAAAAAGACTTGATAGCTGCAAACTCAAATACATTATATACAAAGAAGTAATAAAACTAAAAAGAATTATAATTATCCTGTTTGCATTGATCAGTTGATTGCACTTATATCTGATATTAGACATAAATATCTCAAATGTGACACTCCCAGGAGTTTCTTAGCAAAATGAGTGTTTAAAAGTTAAGCTATATGGTAGAGCAATGCTAACAAGGTATTAAGGCTTTAAAAGGTAAGGTTTTAAAGTTTAAGAATGTAAGTTAAAAAGTTCAAAAACATCATTCTCCATTACTATATATTATTAGATAAGTACTAAAGCAGTAATAAAGATAAGTAATAATATATCCAATGATTATGCAATTGAAAACTAGATTTTAATCCATTGGCTGAAGTTTGAATATTGTTAAAACAGATTTTAACACAATTTAGAAATTATAAAATGCATTTCTTAAAGAAAGTTCTCAGAAGCATTCTTGGTAATGTCAAATAAAATGACCTCTGGCAAAGACTTTAGAAAATAACTTATAAATTTACAGAAACCAGACTTAGAAATTTACTTTATCTTATTCTCGTTTAACAAAGTCACTTTATGAGAAAACCATGTAGGGAAGTGAGATTTGTTTCAGAATCTAATAGTGATTAAAAAAAGACTGTGAATCTTCAGATCCACAATCATTATTTAATGGATATTTGCCTTATTCTCGTTTAACATTTAATGAAGCCACTTTATTAGAAATTCATGTAAGGGAGTGAAATTTTTTCAGATTAAGTTCACTATCTTGCAGAATTGATCAAACCTCACTTTTGGCTACAAAGATTTACATTAAAAACAAACAGTTATGACTTACTATTTATTCTGCATTGTGTATTGATGCACTTGTATGATGTGGATAATAGTTTGAAGAGTAAAGTTATAAATACTTTATAAAAATATCGCTAATTTTACTGTCTTCAATCTTAGAATTTAAAAAAAAAAAATGTCTAAAAAATATATTAAATCAATTAGACTATAGAATCATATCAATTAGACTATATTCACTCTTAGACTATAGAAAGCATTAGTTTTGTAAAATGCAACTTCAGAATGTGGAATTTATATTATATAACATTATATGCCACAGTTTACTTTTTAAATAAATCTCCGGGAACCATTTAATCAATACCATAACATCCGAATTTAAAGGAAAGAAAATTATCAATAACTTTTAACTCACCTGGTAGAAAAATTCGAACACCGGTAGCATTGTTAGTTCTCTAGTTTTGATCAATGAAAACACATTTAAAGAAATAAATCTAGTACTAAATATAAGCATCTTTCTGAAAAATGTATGCAGTTGAAACTCGATATAATGACTGGCGCTTTCCAAAGGAAAACTGACATTGTGAGGTTGCTATAACGTGAATATACAAAATTATAGTAAATATTCATTCATTAATAATGTCCTTATTTAAAAATATATATTCATACACTATTTATTCAATCTATACACTTCTTTCTACTAAGCATATCATGTTAAACAGGTGATAAGCAGACAATTCCGTTAAAAAACATACATTAACTGGAAAGTCTAAGCAAAACTTAAATAGAGAAAAATGTGTCTACCATGTGTGTTATATCTCGAAAATGAACCACCTATTACAAATTTTAATGCAAAGAGTGAAGATAGTAGTTCTGAGAGCAAAAAAAAAAAAAAAAAAAAAAAAAAAAAAAAAAAAAAAAAAAAAANAAAAAAAAAAAAAAAAATATGATTCATGACTCTCTTGAAAAGAAATTTACAAAGGCTATGAATACATATAAGGGACTCCACGTTCTTGGATAAAGTTCAATAAACACTTCAAATTCTCAATATTGAAAGTAATCAAGATATTTTACTATCTTTTTAACCATCATAGATAATGCTAAACATCACCTAAGCTAAGAATAATGCGATCCTATTAGTCCCTGTGACAGAATCGTGGCCACATTGTCACAGAAGATTTCTACTTTGGGAAGTAAAAAAACATTGGTTTTCTTTCCTGCAGAAATTTTTGAAAGATTTTTCCTTTTTTTCAGTATTATATTCGAAAGATGCTTTTCTTGCCCATGGGAGTGAAAAAAAAAATGCTTTTGATTTAACAGTTCTCATTTGAGGATAATAAGAAATAAAGAGTAATGAAGTAAAAAGTTTGTTTTCTTTTCTGCAGAAATTTTCACTCTATTTTTTATGCAATTATTACTATTGATTTACACATAGCTTTAAAAATCAAATATTATTAATACTGTATTATTTATTACAACAACTGTATCTCAAAACCAATACACGTATTTAGTAACCTCTCTTTGAAGAGTCCGAGATTTTGCTCTCGATCTTTCTTTTCGATAGCTACTACGGATTTAACGATTTTTTTTAAATGTTGTGATGATTTACAAAAGACAAAAAAAAAAAAAACTAATTAGTGTCTTTTCCCCCTACATAATGCAAGAATATCGACATAATATTAGAATAAAATAATATTACCCAATCAATTAAAAAAGTTTTTTTTCTTTGAAGTTGACCTGTAACTTTAAATTAGTAACATGCATATTTGTTATTTTCAAAAGTATCTTGCAGAAAGATATTAGTATTAGAGAGGTAAAAGATATTAGTATTGTAGGTTGCAGAAAGCCAAGAAAATTTTGCTACAGGGCTATCAGTCTTTCTCCAATCATAAAAAATCCAAGATATTTTATCTCTATTGAGCAGCAATATCATAAGATGAAATGTTTTTTTGCATTATCTCCTGGTGGCATTTGCTATCTATCGATTTATTATCAACAGAAAAATATATTTTTATAAAGTTAAAAAATATATAACATGCTTTTCTGTGAAATAATAAAATTTTTTTGCAACTGTAACAAAATAATCAGTACAGTTAGACGATCTAATGGGTCTCAAAATAACATGGTGACGACGAGATAAAAATCAGGACTCTTTGTAATGGAAGGATCACAGTTATTGAGATTTTACTAAAGCCTGTAGGTGAGGTAAACCTGGTTCAAATCGCAGCGAGAGCTGGTCGTTATGATTTCCGCATTAGACTTGCACTGATCACAGCGCTGATGCAAAATATGTTCAGTGGTAGAAAAATCATAATTTAGAGCCACCTTGCTGCGAGGTGTTCCTCTCCATGTAACGCAGATACAGGTTTGTTCCATCATAAAGTCCTCCCAAAACTTGATCCTGGAGTTCCCTTGTCGTCTCGATTGGGTTTAAAATTATACGACTATAGCGTTGAACATTGGTAGTCGTAAACCCAAAATTGGGTCGGCTGTTTAACGTCGGTTATAAATTAAATAATTTGTAGGTATTTGAGAATGCAAGCAAGAAAATTTATGTAAAAAATTTATCAATTTAGGACGAAATATTCTATATTGAAGTAATTAATACACTAATGTAAGATTCATAACTGAATTTGGATCATAGTAATACAATTCTTTGATACTAAGATGAATAAAACAAATAAAACTCACTTTAGACTGCACTTAATCTTTTAATGAATATAAATAAAGCAAAATACAAATATAACTCTTTTCAAATTTTGAATATTACAAATGAATGATGAGGTGAATTTTAACGGTTTATGTGGAAAAGTTTCTGAATAACTGGGATTATTAAGCAAAATAATGAGGCTTTTTGCCATTAATTCCATAATCGGCTAAAGCGGGAGTAAGATCTTCCATCGATAGCACATAACGCTTATCCTTAGCTGCCTTCTTACTACTTTGTCCAGCACCTCGCATTTTGCAATGTTGCAGAGCGTCGTTAGCGATATCACTTATGAATTTTTCAGCAGCAAGAGCAATTAACCTGGAAACTCTAGGATCAGTGGATTCAGCTCCAGCAGCCTTTAAGAAGTGCTTAACTACCGGTTCAGGGACAGTAGGAGTGTAATCTTCGAGCTGATCTATGAATTCACACAAAGAGTCACCCATAGTTCGTCCAGGGATTTGAACAGGTGATGAAGGGTTAGATTCAAGAGCAGATGAAGATGTCGGTAAATCATTATCAGTTTTGACAATTAGAGGTTGAATTTCATTGTGATTCGTAGTATTTAACGCCATGACACAGTTTTTATGTCATAAAGAGTTAACAATTTCAATTTCTTCAGCGTAGTGTAGCAAAAATTAAAGCACAATACAGATCTCTTTCTTAAATTTACGAAAAAATCAAAATAATCACAATTAAATAGAGAGGAGTTGAGCTGAAGATTTCCTGTATCTCCGAAATAAAGCCTGAAAATTCACGGCAGCCAAGAGTTGGACTGGTAATATTTACATAAACTACCGCTAGAGGGCAATGTCAATAGAAGAAAGACTTAGCGGTATTTCCAACATTGTCAATCGATGTGAGTAATGACTCCTTTTGTTGATCTTCTCTTACTTTTTGAAACAGAAAATCAGCAAAAGAAAGATTTCAGTTTATTTTATAATAAAATGTAGATACTTCTGAAAAAATAATTTTCTGCAAGTAATATTAAAGGATGAAATTGAGAAATGAAAATCTTTGAAATAATTGAAAGTTTAATTTTAGGTTAAAATGTTTGCATACTTTTTGAGAAATATCTAATGCGTTACCCCCACCCCATTCTAAAAAATGCTTAAGACTATCAAACGCGTTATTTTTTCTCATTTCCTAAGAAAAGTTTCAGAGCAAATGAATTTCAAGATGAATTCATGATAATTAGACCGATGAAGTTTCACACAATGGGTACTCAGTTACGATTCTCATAAATAACTTATAGATACGTCATAAATGAGGAAAAAAAACGCGTATTGTTATTCAATATTGTTTTGTTTTTAAATTAGTTTTTACCGATTCATGATATATTTGGGTAAATAAATTAAATTGTATTGCTATAAACATATGCGTAGCTTCAAGTTGAGACCTAGGAGACACTTACCCCCCTTCCCAATAATTTTTTAAAACTCCGTAATTTTTTTTAAAACAGCTATATTTTAGCTAAAATTGAAATTTAAAAAAAAATCACATTTAGAAAACTAAGGGTTTTAAATAGTTTATTTTCAATTTAACGAAATGATTATACGACTATAAATTTTTATCTTGAAAACCTCTCAGCCCCGCAGCGAACTGATCGTTAAGACACGGCTCCCAGCAGATCACCGAAGTCAAGCATCACTGGCTACGGTCAGTGTGCGGGTGGCTGACCACTTGAATCAGCCTGCGTAGGAACCGAGGGTGTGTGGTATTGGTCCTCGTTAAACTGTTCAATCGTTGCGTAGGGACCGAGGGTGTGCGGTATTGGTCCTCGTTAAACTGTTGTACCGTAGAGTGATCGACTTCGCGTGCAGGTCGTCGGGCTACCGAAGCGGGGGTGCCATCCCCTCTGCAGAGGATCAAAATTGTGATGGCATGTCTTCGGATCATCCTCAAGGATATTTCCCAGACCATCGCCAATATTCTATTGTGCAGCTCTAGTGCGACGTAAATGAACAACAACAAGAAACCTCTCAATGTTTTTTTCTTTTTTAATTTTTTTTTTATTTTAATTTTGTCACATTTCAAATTCAAAGATTTCAGTGAAACAAAATCTAAGTATTCTGTACACAATATAATTTTTCAAGACAGTGAATTTATAATTTTTCAAGACATTTTGTTTTTTGAGGGCATCTTATATCTGAGAATAGCACGATGAAATAGTTATAAATATAAATTATGATGGGTCTGATTCTCTCGAAACCTTCCAGATATATAAATCCAGATAATCATAAAATGCATGATAATTCTGATTTTAAAAACCAGTGAATTTATTAATGGCGAAAACAGTAATAAATTATAAGAACTAATTCATTAATCACTTAATTTTTTTGATATTTATTATTATTTTTTATTTTTTGCAAACTATAGGGAGGATTAGTGGCTCCAAGTTCGGTTAAATTAATGCAAAAGTATTAATATGGCCTTTGGGAACTCCAATTGAAAAAACTGGACTTTATTTTTAATTTTTTAAAACCATGGCCTATTTTAAACAATAAATGATGATTGTTTTTTTTTCTTTGTTTTTTTCCCTTCTTTTTTGTATCAGTAAAAGCAAGACACTAAGATTCCATATGCAATGGAGATGGAAAGGTACAAGTTTATGAACTGAAGAAACTTTAATAGTGGTTTCTCTGAAATTCTTATGTCTTGAAAAAATAATAAATAGATTTAATTCTAACTTTGCATTTCGAGATTTGAAATAATGCAGTTAAACAGTGATGTGAAGAAAATGTGACGATAGACATGGAAATACACAAAATAAACTTTACAGAATTTGAAAATTTCAACCGGTCTATTGACCTTGATTGCAGAGATTATTTTGCAAATTGTATTTTAAAACGTGAAAATTCTATCATTAGAACACGAATTATTCTCATCAAGGTGATTTAAATTTTCCCTCAAAGTGCAACACGAACTACTTAGTACGTTTAAGTTACTTACTTTATTTTGACTATGTTTTTATTCTCAGTTAATATATCAAATTAAACTGTTTCGTAGCACTGTTAGCACTAGATTGATACACTATATTCAGAATTTTTTTGATTAAATGGAAGACAGCTATAACTCAACACCAAGCACAAGTGCAGCACTGTTGTTTTCACGCATACTCTAACCAAAGAATATACACAGGATATATTTTTTGACTAGGATAGAATAGCATAGAATATACATATATATTCGTTGCCCTATCTATGCCCTTTAAACAATATAAATTTCCGCATTGTCAGGAGAGCGTGTGTGTTGGAATATTGTGGCAGAGCCCTTATAAAGCCACTTACAAGGGCTCATATTTGCAATAACAGCGTCGCTCTTTGAAGCCGGGAATACAGGATGTTCCGTTTTTTTTTCTTTTCTCTTTTTTTCCCTAAAAAACCCTAATAAATATTTTTATATCTCAAGTAAAAGAAAGAAGCTTTTTTAAAAAAAAGGGATTAACTGACATAAATTAATATTTAAGCCAATGAGAAATGAAAACGAGATTGAAATGTAAAGAACCACTATGGAGGAAACATTAAAACCAGTTTAAATGCAAATGGAAATAGAAAGAAGATGAAAGGAATAGATGAAGATGATTTTTCACCTTCTTCGCTAGTGATCCAACTCATTATGATAAAGTTTTTGCATTTTTCTTGATTAAATATTAATTTGTGACCTATAATATGCATACTATCTTGATTTCACTTTTGATAACCATTCAAAAGATATGCCATCTATCGTGTTTTTACTGACTCCCTTTTACTTATTTTTCTTTTATAATTCGATTCTCATAGCTTATTTTATAACTTTTGTTGAACAGCCGAGCCAATTTTGGGTTTGCAACAACTAATGTTCAACTCCGTAGCCTTGTAATCTTGAACCCAAGTCCAAGTGCGACGTAGATAAAATACCAATCTACCTGCCAACCAGAAGACAAGGGAACTCCTGGATCAAGCATTGAGAGAAATTTGCCTTCTTGGAGGATTTTTTGCTGAAACTAACCTGCATATACCTTACAAGTAGAGGAAACCACGAAACAGCCCACGATCGACCTGAAGGCACGGGGACTTTAACCCATGATCCGTTTTTCACTGAGGATATTTTACGTCAATACTGTGAACGGTGCGAGCAGGGTGTGGAATTCGTATCGACCAGCCATCTTTGAGATTCGAACCTGGTTCACCTCATTGGAGGCGAACTATCTCTCCCCTGAGCAAACACGGTTCAAATTCGATTATTTTATTTTATAATCATCGCTGAACGGCCGACCCAATTTTTTGGTTTACGATTACTAATGTTCAACTCCGTAGCCTTGTAATTTTGAACCCAATCCAGAAGACAAGGAAACTCTTGCATCAAGCATTGGTAGAAATTTCTCTTCGAGGAGGACTTTTTGGTGGAACTAATCCGCATTTGCGTTACATGGAGAGCAAAACCATGAAGGGGTGGGGGGAAATGGAGAGGGGGAAAATGGATAATTTGTGAAATTCAAAACTAGAGAGAAAAGAAATACTTACCTTCATAATTTATCAAAAAGTATTTGTATAGTAAAATATAAGCAGCAACGCTTATCCGTGTTTATTCTTTTATTAGTTTAAAAAGATTATTGGTGCATGCCAAACATATAAGTATCTTTGATAATAAACGCAGAATAAAATTTAGAAGCAAAGAAAGAGTCACATTAGGTTCTAAGAAGAAATACATTTTGTCTTGAATGTTCTTGAAGAAAAAACATCCAAGTACTTTAAATTATTAAAATAAAGGGTTAATAAATTAAATAATTAAAATAAATTTCCTTAAAATAATAAACTCTTTGTTTAACTAGTAGTCAGGCATATTATTGCAATGAGGTACCTGCTATGCCATTTTCCAGCGCTTTGAAGAAGAAGAATAAAAAAAAAAAAAAAAAAAAAAAAAAAAAAAAAAAAAAAAAAAAAAAAANAAACTGAACATTTCTTTATGAAACACATAGAAATATTACCGACGCAAAAAAGAGTTTTTTTTTTTTTTTTTTTTTTTTAAATTTTGCATAATTTGTGAAACAAAATTGATAAATTAAATACGTACAAGTGACATCACCGTTGGTAATTCTTGGCATTTATCGATTCAGAAGCCAATCCCATTCGACGCACGCGTGTGACGTCGCATACGGGTATCCAATTAAATCTAAATAAATCACATGGTTAAACATAATCATTTCATTTTTTCTCGAGCTACAAGTAACGAATTGCAGAAAAAAAAAAGAGCTCGAAGTTAGGCTCTCAAAAATAAGCCAAGCAGAATTAATATCTAAATGTCTATTCCATAACTTCAAAAATTTGAATATCAGCGATATTTTTTATTAATATACAGAACAGATTTATTTAAGTCTAGAAGCAAATCAAATTTATGCAAATCAGCTATGGGAGACGCAGATAGTGAAATTATCGTTCCAGGTAGGCAACGGAATTTATATTTTCAAAAACAGAAAAAGTTTTCACGAAATTTTTATTATAAAGTTATTAGATAGCAAATTTTCATGTTCTAAAATCTTATAACATGATGTAAACGATTTTTAAAAATAATTTCCGTATAATAGTATGAATTTCAATTAATTACAAACAAATACATACATTGTGAATAACAATATATGAATAATAAAAGTGATAAAAATAGATTATGATTAGAAACTCGTTGATAGACAATTTAACTTTTAAAAAAGTATAAAACAAAGTATCTGTAAAAGTAATTACGGTTTTAAGATTGAAAAAAAAAATGGAAAATATTCATTTAACATTTAAACGAGAGTTTCTACTAAAAAAAAGGCATCATTTTCAACTTTGTATCTTAAACAATCAAAAAGAGTTACCTAAAATAGATATTTACATCAGTCTTATCAGTTTTAGCTACAAGTTTTCTAAATACGCAGTTTACTTTAAATACGCCAAAGTGGATTTTATTGGTAGGAAAAATATCGATGATACAAAATGTTTAAATTAATTTCTGATTACCAAATATATTTGAATTAGTCCCGTAGTGGACTGATCGTTAAGACACGATTCCCAGCAGATCACTGAAGTTAAGCATCTCTGACTGATGCCATTGTGCGGGTGAGTGACCACTTGGATCAGTCTGCGTAGGGACCGAGAGTGTGTGGGTATTGGTCTTCGTTAAACTGTTCTACCGTAAAGTGCTCGACTTCGCGAGCAGGTTGTCGGGCTACCGAAGCGGGGGTGCCATCCCCTCTGCAGAGGATCAAAATTGTGATGGCATGTCTTCGGATCATCCTCAGTTATATTTCCCAGACCGGCGCCAGTTGCCCATTGTGCAGCTCTAGTGCGACGTAAATGAACTACAACAACAATATTTGAATTAAAAGAATAAGTACTTATTCCGTTCAGGGGCGGCAGCGTAAAAATAATCTATTATCACAGTACTTTTGTTTGGTACTTATATTAGTATAGTCGCTACTTATTACAGCAACACCTATTATCACCATTTATTTGTAAACCTCACTGGCATTAATAATAATTTGACGAGTTTTTTAGAGCTTCCCAAAACGGAGAGGTACCAAAGAGTATATTTATCTAGATATTAAAATTGTCCCACTTAATTTCTGTGTACTAAAAATCTGTGGAATTTCCAATTTACACAAGAAAGATTGCCCAAAAGCAGTCAAAATGGCTGGATTGTGAAAGAATAACTGATGTGTAAAGAAATTTGTTTAAAATTAATTTTTAAAATTTTTTATATTATTTACAGTNAATCGTTATCGTATCGGTGAGTGAAAAAGCGCTCCGTTGCTGACCATGTATTTTACTTGATTCTATGTCGTTCGCCGACAATCGGATCCGTTTTGTCGTTATCGTGTCGTGTAATGAAAAAGCGCCCATAATATGCATATTTTCTTGATTTCACTTTTGATAACCATTCAAAAGATATGCCATCTATCGTGTTTTTACTGACTCCCTTTTACTTATTTCTTTTTTTGTTAATTCGATTCTCATATCTTATTTTATAACCATTGTTGAACAGCCGATCCAATTTTGGGTTTGCAACAACTAATGTTCAACTCCGTAGCCTTGTAATCTTGAATCCAAGCCCAAGTGCGACGTAGATAAAATACCAATCTACCTACAAACCAGAAGATACAAGGGAACTCCTGGATCAAGTATTGGGAGAAATTTGCCTTCGTAGAGGACTTTTTGATGAAACTGACTAGCATACACCTAACATGGAGAGGGAAACCACGAAAACCACCCACGATTAACCTGATGGCAAGGGGACTTTAACCCATGATCTGTTTTTCACTGAGGATATTTTACGCCAATACTGTGAACGGTGCGAGCAGGGTGTGGAATTCGTATCGACCAGCCATCTTTGAGATTCGAACCTGGTTCACCTCATTGGAGGCGAACTATCTCTCCCCTGAGCAAACACGGTTCAAATTCGATTATTTTATTTTATAATCATCGTTGAACGGCCGACTCAATTTTTTGGTTTACGATTACTAATGTTCAACTCCGTAGCCTTGTAATTTTGAATCCAATCCAGAAGACAAGGGAACTCTTGCATCAAGTATTGGTAGAAATTTGCCTTCGAGGAGGACTTTTTGGTGAAACTAATCTCCGCATGTGCGTTACATGAAGAGCAAAACCATGAAGGGGGAGGGGGAAAATGGAGAGGGGAAAATCGATTATTTATGAAATTCAAAACTAGAGAGAAAAGAAATACTTACCTTCATAATTTATCAAAAAGTATTTGTATAGTAAAATATAAGCAGCAACGCTTATCTGTGTTTATTCTTTTATAAGTTTAAAAGATTATTGGTGCATGCCAAACATATAAGTATCTTTGATAATAGACGAAGATATATATAAATTTAAGAGCAAAGAAAGAGTCACATTAGGTTCTAAGAAAAAATACATTTTGTCTTGAATGTTCTTGAAGAAAAAATATCCAAGTATTTTAAATAATTAAAATAAAGGTTTAATAAAGTAAATAATTAAAATAAAGGGTTAATAAATTAAATAATTAAAATAAACTTCATTAAAACAATAAACTCTCTGTTTAACTAGTAGTTAAGTATATTATTGCAATGAGGTACCTGCTATGCCATTTTCCAGCGCTTTGAAAAAAAAAAGCAAAAAAAAGAGTCGCTTTTTCACATGCTGCAGCATTTGAGCGAAAACTGAACATTTCTCTGTGACACACATAGAAATATTACCGACGCAAAAAAGTTCTTTTTTTTAAATTTTGCATAATTTATGAAACAAAATTTATCAATTAAATACGTGCAAGTGACATCAAAGTTGATAATTCTTGGCATTTATCGATTCAGAAGCCAATCCCATTCGACGCACGCGCGTGACGTCGCGTACGGGTATCCAATTAAATCTGAATAAATCACATGGTTAGACTAAGTCTAACCATAATAATCATTTCACTTCTTCTCGAGCTACAAGTAACGAATTGCAGAAGAAGAAAAAAGAGCTCGAAGTTAGGCTCTCAAACATAAGTCAAACAGAATTAATATCTAAATGTCTATTCCATAACTTCAAAAATTTGAATATCAGTAATATTTTTTATTAATATACAGAACAGATATATTTAAGTCAAGAAGTAAATCAAATTTATGCAAATCAGCTATGGGAGACGCAGATAGTGAAATTATCGTTCCAGGTAGGAAACGGAATTTATATTTTCAAAATCAGAAAAAGTTTAATTAAAGTTTTTATTACAAAGTTATTAAGTAGCAAACTTTCATGTTCTAAAATCTTATAACATGATGTAAACAATTTTTAAAAATAATTTCTGCAAAATAGAATGAATTTCAATTAATTACAAACAAATACATAAATTGTGAATAACAATACATGAATAATTAAAGTGATGAAAATAGATTATGATTAAAAACTCGTTGACAGAAAATTTAACTTTTAAAAAATTATGTAATAAAGTATATGCAAAAGTAATAACGGTTTTAAGATTAAAAAAAATGGAAAATATTCATTCAACATTTAAACGAGGGTTTCTACTAAAAAAAAAAAGGCATTATTCTCAACTTTGTATCTTTAACAATCAAATTGAGTTAGAAGCAAATAGAGTAATAGAAAAAAGATACTTACATCAGTCTTATGAATTTTAGCTACAAGTTTTCTAAACACGCAATTTACTTTAAATATTCCAAAAGTGGATTTTATTGGTAGGAAAAACATCGATGATACAAAATGGTTAAATTAATTTCTGATTACCAAATATATCTGAATTAAAAAAAATAAGTATTTATTCCTTTCAGGGGCAGAGAGCGTAAAAATCTATTATCACAGTACTTTTCTTCGGTACTTATATTAGTATAGTCGCTACTTATTACAGCAACATCTATTATCACAATTAATTTGTAAGCCTCTCTGGCATCAATAATAATTTGGCGATTTTTTAGGGCTTCCCCAAACGGATAGGTACCAAAGAGTATTTATCTAGATGTTAAAATTGACCAACTTAATTTCTGAAATTAATGTGTAATAAAAATCTATGAAATTTCCAATTAACACTAGAAAGATTGAAACTTAGTATATAGCTATATTGCCCAAAAGCAGTCAAAATGACTGGATTGTAAAAGTATAAATAATGTGTAAAGAAATTCGTTTAAAATTAATTTTTTACATTATTTACAGTTACGTAGCAAGTTATTAGTAAATATTTACAATAAAAGAAAAATTATATGTTGTACAAAAAGTCACAAAATTCTGAGAAATTGTGTCATTATATTTCATATTATCATCGTTTTTCTAATTGTATTTAAAAAGCAGTCAAAATGACTTCCTTTTGCAATCTAGGGTTAACTTATGAATCATTACTATTTTTTTTCAAGCTGTGGCCAATCAGATTATTAATTTCAAGTTCGAAACCTTGTTGCATTTTTACTTATGAAACAAATAATCTGGAAAGGAAAATGAACTAATTTCTATTTAAATCCCATCCCCGAATTTTTTTTTGATGAGGCTTAATTTTCGTAGCTCAGAAAAACGCGCTAAAAATCACGAATTAAAATTGTATTAAATAGAAGGTGTTAATTTGAAGTTGAAGGTGTTAGTTTGAATTTTCTCAAAGTTACGGACAAGCATAATCACTATTGCTAAAATGGTTAATCTCCAAGTTGAGTCATAAATCAGAGAACTTCAATCTTTGCACTCATTACGATAGTCAGTAAACTTTAAAAAATATATTTTGCTCCTATTTCGTTATGTTTAGCAACCGAACTGAGAGGCTAGAGTGAAAAGTGACTTACGTTGTTGTAATTTACAATGTTATTACTAATACGTATATACTCGACTGCAAGGGGATTCTAACCTATGATCCGTCTACCTGTGAGGATATTTTTACGTCAGCACTGTGGTCGGTGCGAGCCGAGAGCAGAATTCGTATCCACCTGCCACCGCTGTGATTCGTACATGGGTCATCTCCTTGGGAAGCGAAAACTCTATCCCATAAGTCACCGCTGTTCAGTGAAGACCTATTTTGTTTTATAACCACCGAAGAATAGCCAACACAATTTTGAGTTTACGACTACCAATGTTCAACTCCGTAACCTTGTAATTTTGGAACTAATCCAGAAGACAAGGGAACTCCTGTATCAAGTATTGGCACAATTTAGTATTAGTGGAGGACTTTTAGATGGAACTAACTCGCATTTGTGTTACATGGAGAGGAAAACCACGAACGCCTCTCACAGTTAGCCTAACGTCAAAGGAACTCTAATTCATGATCCGTCTACTATTCATGATCGGATATTTTACGTCAGCACTGTGGTCAGCGAAATTCATATCAACCAGCCTTCGCTGGGATTCGAGCCCTGGTCACCTCATTAGGAGGCGAGCTTTCTATTCCCTAAGATATCACGACTCAGTGAAGACTAACTAAAAAATTTTTAAAACTTGAAATAATAATAATTATATCTTTATGAACTTTTGCTAAAATCCATGAAAACACAACACCATGCAGTAGCGCCGGAAAGTTTCAGTGCTTGACACTATTACAAGAATGAGGTGGGACAGTGTGGGCATGGTTATGGGATGAGCCAATGTTCAAAACTGAGCTGAAGCTCTGTGCTGGATGAGAATACTAGAGTAAAATACTAAGTGATACAAATAAAATTAACATCCAATCAAAATTTCAATCACTTTCCCGCAAGAACAAATTAATTGACACAAAAATAAAAAAAGAAAATTATTAAAATTTTTTTTTTTTTAAAATTACTTTTCAAGTAGTCTAAAAAATTTATTATCGTTAGACCTGAAACGTAAAACGTAGACAAAATAATTTACACATATTACTTACTAGGGTAAAATGATGAACATTGGTAGAATAGATGTTTATTACTTTGACAATTTATTATTGAGAAAGTAATAAACACTCATTTTTATTCTTCCTTCTTATTCGATTTGAAAATAAACTTTTTTTTTAAAATGTAATTGTACCTAATTATTTTAATTTTTTCTCTTTTAATAATTTGCTGCTATACCTCGAGTACAATTGCGAGGGAAAGAGTAAACAGACTACATCACGTAAAGATGCAATTTAGTACTCCATAAATGTGATGCAAGTGAATTTTAAAATATCTTTATTCTCTATATTTATTTAACAAAAAAAAATATAAAGATATTTTATTACCCATAATGATATTTAAGTATTTTTATGCATATTCCCCCCCCCCAAAAAAAAAAAAAAAATTAGCGTCAATAGAAAATTTTATCAAGATAAAAAAAATTTAAAGCTTGTTAAAGTGTGGATTATAAAGCGTTGAAAATGTGAATAAAATGCACCTTAAGTAACACAATCAGGGCTATAACACAACAGCTTATCGCACTAAGCTCAATGATATAATTATTTGATTTTTAATTCTAGTAAATGAGATCGAATCTTGGATGGATGAAGCGTTGGGAGTAGTAGATGAAGGATTAGATCATCTTTTTCTGTACATGATGAATGTTAACGATCGCACAAAACAGGTATGAAGAGCTCTATTTTTTGGGATTTTGCTTGAAAGTTGCAACTTCAGTGTTCTAATTAAACTTACTGGAGAGATTTTGCTGTTTTACATATCATACCGTACGCTTCCATACGTAGATGAGAAGTGACTGTTCTTGCGTATCTGAAGTGCGCTTGCGCTAGTGTCAGAGAAGTGGTGCGCATGCGCCCGTGCAAACTTACGTGAATAAAGGAACGAAATTTCTCAAAATAGCTGATGTAATGAGTGGAACTGAAATTCTAAAATGAATAGTTTATTTACAACCAATTTATTTGCATGTGTGGGAATGCTACAAACAAATTATATCCATATCCATACCATGTCTGAACGATTTTTGTAAAAGATTCGTTCTAAGGTCTGGTTCGCTCAATTACCTGGAAAATGTGTGCGATTTTCTTATGTTCTTTTTATTAACATGTATATAAATAAAAAAAAATCGATAAACTTATCAGCGATTTTCGGATAATTTTCTTCCTGTGGATTCCCAGCCATTACCATATATCTAGTAACGAGAGGGTGGACCAGCTGACCAAACCAGGATGCTCGCTTCCACAGACTCCTTTTGTCATTCCTTATAATCAAATTTCTTTCACCCTTGTCAGGATGACAACTAAATTTGTTAAACACAACACAACTGCTGAAGCTGCAGGAAATTTTTTTGTCCTGTCTTATTCTCGATCTCATCCCCATGGGCCACCCCCGACAGATTTTTTTTGTTGCTGCAAATTTTGAAATTGTGAATAGACATGACTATCACCTACACCGGATAGGCATTTCTGACTCCCTTGACTGCCCTCTACGTACCACAAGAGAAGCTACGAGCCTTAATCACTTAACAGTTTGCCCATCCATGAACAACATTACTAACTCTTTGACCATTGACAACTTTCACTTGAATGCTACTTTGTAATGTGCTGCTAGAAGGAAAATGGCCGGTGCAGTCGGTTTCTCGATGTGGCAAAAAATTTATAAATAACAACTATTCATGAATTAAAAAAGAAACCGGTCCTTTTTAATACCAAATGGATGTTGCATGGACAAAAATGAGACATTCGTGTCTACATGAAGTGGTGATTTGAACGGAAATGGTTAAAAGACTTATAAGTTCAGTTTTTGTTAACATGTAATTAAAAATGAGTTTTCTTTTAGATAATACTGTTTTACCTATAAAAATAAAAAGCATAAATAAAAAAAAAACGGGAATGAAGCACGAAGAAAATTGCAGAAAAGGGCATACCATAGTTTCGGTTCCATAAACACAAACCTCCCTAAGTGTCTAAGCATCAAATGATAGGTGAGAAGTAAAGAGACAAACACGTACAAAGTGGTTAAGCTGATAGGGATAGAGATACAAGTTTGTTGTTGTTTTTGTTGCTTATCTCCCATCTGGTCTGACGGAGCCAGATCAGATTTAAGAATCCGTTGACATTTAAAAAATCATATACAAGAAGAGGAGATGAATGAATTTCCTCCCGTATGAGTGCCAAACAGTCCAAGAGGAGGGAAAGTGCAGATTCTGATAGTCCTAAGACTGGAGCACCAATAGGTAGAGGACTGTCTCAGCTCCCTCACCTGTAGGCAGTTAGCTGGACCCACTGGAACGACCTTCACGTCTTGAGTGGCTCTATCAGGAGAATACATATTTTAATTCCAGTTTTACTTTTCGCGGTTTGTTGTTGCTGCTTACTAAACCAAAATATAGTTAATCTATTATAACAATTACCTCCTATTGTCTTACAGATTTTGATGAAACTTGAAAGCTTGGAGTATTTTCGGAATCTGTTCCTGGCCATGAATCTATTGATCGTTCCAGTGGTGATAGCAATTCTATTATGTTTTAGCACCAGAAATACCGTTGACAGATCTGGTCTTGAAGTTAGTACGATGAAAAGTTTTATCACATTATCATAACAGTTTTTGTGTTATTCTATCCCACTTTATAGATCGTAACATCTAGATCAAGTTCATGAACCAGTGTGATTTCAATTTCAAGAAGAACCCGTTCAGGACTGGAGACCAGTAGGTTCTTCTGACAACCGATGCAGGTCAGTATATAAGCAGGAACGAATTGAGTGACAGGGAAGAAGGACTTTGTCACATGGCGTTGAGTATGAAATTGTCTGCTGTGGAATCTAGTGAGGCCGTCAGACAGAAAATAGATTGAATGTATGTTTTACTAGAGCTGTACATTAATTGGTTAATGACAAAGGTTTGGAATTAATCCTTAGTGATGATTTGGAGATAATATTGGCTCATGCGCACTGCGCACTACTATAACTTAGATTAGCAAACGGATGGTGGGTATTAATGACAAGGTCTGAATTACATGAGCACATATTTCAGAGCCACGATAACTCTAAAAAAAAGCGATCGTAAAAGCTCTCGCCATCCAATGAGGTGACCAAGTTCGAATTCCAGTGACTGCTGGTCAATGCGAATTCTGCTCTCCGGCTCACACCGATTATTGTTCAGACGTTAAATAATTCTATTTTTAGACAGATTACGAGTTTGAATGCTCTTGCCATCGGGCTAACCATGGAAAATCTTCGTAGTTTTCCTCTTCATGTAATCCAAAAGTTGGTTAGTTTTCTTAAAAAAAGGCCTCAATAAAGGCTAGATTTGTCCAAATGCTCAATCCAAAAGTTCCTTTGTCTTCTGGCTTGGGTTCAAAATTACAAGGGTATGGAGTTTAACATTGATAGTCTTAAAAACTGAGTCAGCCGGTTTCAAAATAAAATAAAACATTTTTTCAAGCTATGTCCATTTTCTTAGAAGCGCATTTTAAGTTGTGTGCAAAATAGGAAGTTCAATGACGATGTACAAGTTCAATTTTCATTTTTTGTGTGGTTTAACACTGCTTTACAATAAAGACTCCAATTGCTAATTCTAAAAGAGTTAAAATTTGACGGTAAATCTAAATACTAAACGTATAATACATATGCGGCTGCAATGTATAATAAGTGATTTTGTGTTGAATGATTTTAAAGCAACGATCGCTCGTCTTAGATTGCGCTTGCCCTTTCCGCTATGTTGAATGATAACACTAGAGAACAAATGTTTTGTTGCATTTATACAAGTACTAGAATTGGTTTTGTCCCGAAAACTTCAGATTGTTTTTTCCAAATGATATTTAGATTTTTAGCTTTTGTCAGAATACACAAGTTTATAAAGAAGGAGTGCTGGAGAGGTGACCGAGCGGTTAGCGTGCCTGACTGCGAAGCCAATGACTGCAGGTTCAAATCCCGCTCTGGGCATGGATGTTTCTCTCTCTTGTGTTGTCCTCCGTTGTATGTGATGTGTGAATGCGGCCCACCCTATGAACCGGTATTTGTGGCAGTGTGGCATGAGTAATGTTGCTCGCCTCCGTGACTTAGGATCACAGGTGCCCACTGGGTAACGTAAATGAGCAACCCTTCCAGCATCTTCCGAGGTGAGGAACGAAAGTTCAGTACCTGTTGTGAGAGAGAAAAAAAAGATGAAGAAGGTGTAGGTTTATATACATCATGTACAGAGAACAGTGTAAATATTCCCTGTGTTAGACTTCGATGTTTAAATCTTCATATAACTTCTTAGGTATTCATAAAAACATTTTAACTTGAGAAAATATTAACAATTCAATTTTATTTTCTTAAATGTTTTATTTTAGAAACGACAATTGAAATTAGTATAGTTTTTTTTTGCTATTAAAACATGTGAATTAAATTATTTTTTTTCCAGGTCGGGTATCAACTAGTGGTAACATTTTTGATGTTCATCTCAGGCAGTCTAGGTGTTCCTCTTTACATTTATTCATTATGGGAATTGCATAATGCTAACAAAAAGTTGAGAAGCGAATTAGTGGCCATAAGGTAAACTAGAAAGAACTTGAAAGATATTTATTATATTTTTTAAAAAGTACTATAAATTCCAGACAATAAAAATGAATCATAAAAGTTCATGTGCACCATTGTACTCTCGTTGCGCACCAAGGAAGAGATTTCAGAATGAAACGAAATTTTGCACACTTAAATACAACATTCATATAAGTAAGTGGTTAAACATCAAAGCAAAATGATCATTTATTGCAGGAAAAAAATACAAATGAATGAAGTTTTTGGCACGTTTTCAGGCCACCTCTAGCACGAATGCATGATGCGATACGATCACACTTCATACAAATCCCCTATGATGTCTTGTGGCATCTCGTTCTCATTGTTTCTGTAGAAACACCATTAAATCGACTGAACTTGGATGCTGTCAAATTTGCTGTCCCAAGTGGTCCCATACAGGCTCATTCGGTGACAATCTGGAGATCAAGCAGACAAGGAAAGTGAAACCCTTGCTGCGTGTTGCCGAGCATTGGTTTATTAAAAAATGGCTCATGGGAGCCTTGTCATGAGTGGCAACACATGTGACATACCATCACACCAGCTGTCAAAGCGATATGCTGCTGTACAGCCCTGGGAGGATTGACAACCACCAACCATTGACTCCGTTTGGAGTAGTGTGGCTCTCTATGGGATTATTGGAGTGTAATAGAATGGAACCAGGTCATCTTCAATGATGAATCCAAATTTAATTTTGGCACTGATCGCCATCTTGTTCGAGAATGTACTTGGTGAACGCCATGAAAACATCCTTCAACCACATGTGTTGTCACTCATGTCAGGGCTCCCGAGAGCTATTTTTCAACAAGACAATGCTCTACCACACACAGTAAGGTTGTCACAAGAATGCTTCAGCCACATTACTACCCTTCCATCGACTGCTTGATCCTCAGATTTGTCTCCGTACGAGCATATTTGGAGCCAAAATGGGAAATGCTAGAAGTATCAAAAATTAAATAACTTGTTTCTTTATTGAAAAAAATATCTCTAAAATCGAGCTCAAGTCAAAGAACGCACAAAATGGAAATCTTAAAATTGAAAATCAAAAGACCTCGCTGTTTCAAAAAGTATCACACGAAGTGAAGAGGAAAACTTTGAAAATACTAGAGATAAAACAAAATATTGAAAAAGTTGATAAATAAAATAAATTTGTTAAGCAAAAAATGCTAAAAAATATTTAAAATAAATTTTATAAACAATAATATTCGTTATTTAAACAGCAAAAGAAAGCTATCGTAGGTACCTAAAAATTTCAAAAGTTAAACTTTTAGTCAAAAAAGAAGAAAAAAAAACTGAAATTGATAACGCTACAGATACTAGAAATCAAAGTTTCTCTGCCCAACTATTAACGGCTAAAGGGTGTTTTTTACGGTTTACACGAGTTTCGATTTTAACTGTTTCTGTTCATGCTTTACTTTTGATCGAATGCTTCATCTCTTTATGCACGGTTTTATGTACAGGTCTGCCAACTACAACGCTTTTAGCAAAATATTTTATAAAGTAAGAAACATTTAAAAACCAAAGCTTTCAGAATTTTTAATAATTTTGCCAACGTATTAAAAACTTCGATACAAAAGGTTTGAATAAAGAGGCGTTTTATATGAACTTTTAAATCATTTATGTGTAGTAATGTGGAAAATATAAGTTTAAATGAATAAAAAATAATACATTGAAACATACACTTAGGTACCACTATACACTAGAGTAAATTTTTACAAAAAACGTAGAAAGTTGGCAGCTCTGTATGTAGCGTAACAGGACCCCTATATAACATTAAAAACATTCTCAATTACAATATATTCCTTGGACCACACTATTTCAAATTATTTGCTCACGTGTTTTTTTAACCGATTTGTAAAATAGAGCTATTTCGACTGCTAAGAAAAGCAACTAACCTGGTAAGTTTTTAAATTATGCTAAAGTATTGTGACCATTATGCATCAAAATCGTCTTTCATAGGCAAGGTGTGCCGAGAACAGATTCTGGGAGATTGGACAGTACATCATTGTCAGAAGACAGTTTTTTGACCTTCATATCCAATGAGACATCCTTAGAGAGGTATAATGATTTTGCCCGAATGCTGAACGATCGGATGCCAGAAACTATGAGGGCTGATATCGGAAGAAGAAGAGGTGTGGTTACAGTCAATGGTGTAAGTACAGGAGCAATCAATGTCAACATTTTAAAAAATTTTCCTCTCAGGTGTAAAAATACCGAAATAAGTTCATTTTTTGTTGCATTGGAATTGTTCAGTAAAATAACTTTCAATTTATTTTTAAATTTTTGCTGAGAAGGGGCAGAAAAGAAATTTATTTTTCTTCTTTCTATGTTCCTTGTTTTAATATTATTCTCGCTTTTTCTGCCACAAAGCTTCTTGAAAACTACTTTTGCCTAGTCATAGCCATATAGGGTTCTTCAAGGCCTGTAGGCCCCGAAGGGGCCTTTTACCTTTCCATCATGATAGTACTCGGTCATGAAATATTTAAATGAGATACATAGAAAGAAAAAGTAAAATATCTATCTTTTAAAGGCATTTTCCTAGATGCAGATATAGTTTACTACGAAGCTGCGACTTCAGCGCTACAAGAGCGTCAGCTACGCTTATAAAATTAACATAAATATAAATCGACGCAGTGCCGGGTACTGATAGCGGTGAAAAATAGAATTAATTGGCCCTAAATAAGGTCTTTTTAGTAGATTATGAATTAGGGAATTAAAATTTTATTGAATTAATTAAAATCTCTGAGATACAATTGCATCACTGTTGAAAAACTGAGCAATAGGTTTAATTTTGAACATTTGATAATAATAAGTAATATTGGAGTCTTCAACTAGCATTTCTGCTTTAAATAGTTTATTAAAATTTGTTGCATTGCAATTAAGGGCCTTTTTGTAAAATTGTGTATTTAGTGTTTCAGAAAGTACTAAAAAAACAGTAGAAAAGCTATTATATTTCTTGTTCGTGATTCATCATTATTAGGTTTATATTTCATGTTAAGGCCTGGTTTCTTAGGACAAGCGCCTTATCTGGGCGTCGGCGGGACGTCAACGCCAGCAAAATACTGGTTTGTTAGTTCAAGGCCTGGTTTCTTAGAACTAGCGCCTTATATGGGCGTCAGCGGAAAGTTGACGTAGAGCTGGCGCTAAAAAAATACTTTTTTGTTAGCTCAGCGTGAGTAGTCGGTCCAACGCAGACATTATCTCTTGTTGCGCATGCGTTAGTAACGTAAAAATATTTATTTTGAATTCGTATTGATTTTGTTATTGTCGACCAGTGTTTTAGAGAACAAATAATGACTTTGTCCAATGAAAAACACATTATAGCTGAGCTAAATGAAGAGTGCTATGTTTAATGAAGAAGCTATGTTTAATGTCAAATGATTTCAATGTGCTGTTGGATGTTGTCCACCATTGCTTCTGTGGTTAACGTCACGTTGTAATCCAACTGCAGTTGTGTTGGACGGCAATTGTAGTTCAAGATGAGCGTTCGATGACGCACACTATCAAACTCACAAATGGATCAATCAGAGGTTAGCGCTGATTTCCAGCTGACGGCGTCCTGTTCTAAGAAACCGGGTCTTTAGAAACAGCCAAATATCTATCTTTTAAATGCTAATACGTCTTTATAATCACCAATAATCTACATCGTTTAGAAAGAAGCTAGATATGAAAGAATTTTATTACAGGTTCCAAGGCATCCTTCCTTTTACAAGATATTTGTAGCTTTTAGTTTAATATTGCAAGAAATATTTTAGTTAGTGCATATGCATATTGGTTGGTATGTTGAATCAGTTTAATTTTTTGTTCTAATAGCCAAGTGAAGAAAGTCGATTGATTGCTTTGCAAACGGAGAATTCTTCAAATATACCTTCAGAAGAAATGATTACGGAAAACAGTTCAGCTAGCGATATTACATTCCAAGAAACTAATGGTAAATTAATTAAAAAAAAATTTTTTTGAAAGTAATTGAATAAATAAATTTTAAAAGTGGGTTCTGAAACAATTTTATGAAAATTTCAAAAACTGGACATCTTTTTTGAAACAGATTATGAAGATATTTTTTAAATCATAAACTCTATAATGAAATTTTTGTAAAACCTCTAAAAACTTAGGTTGCATTAATTTATGTTATTTCAACCATAATAATTAAATCTTAATTATTGACTGATTATCATTACTAAAGACAAAACAGGTATTTTATTTCAAAAATTAACAAACAGGGTGTTCATTGAAAACCACCTTTAATATGTGCTTTTTTCTTTTAGATTCCTTAAAAAATGAAAACATAAAAGCATACGCAATTGAGATCTCGCAAATTAATATTTTACCGCTGAAAAAACGAAAACACTATTGAAACCTAACCAGTCACAGTACTGTAAATCGGTTGTAATAAACAAAAAGTAGGTTTGGATGTGGGAAGAATTTAAAGGCGATTATTAGTTTCAACATCAAATTAAATCTGTTTTGATGTTTATTACATTCGTCTTTCTCTTCTGTAAATTAGTAACTATTGTACTGATTTCGATAGCATTTTTGTTTTTCCTCGGTAGATAAATATTAACTTAACCCCAAATTGTATACTTTAATGTTTTCGATTTGGATAAGGATTTTAAAATTGCATATTAAAGACGGTCTGTACGAAACACCCAATATATTTTACTCAACAGGTTGGCATACTCTGATTTCTCCAAAACGTGAGTGTAAACGGAATTTCATAGATAACTCATAGCTATAATCATACATCATCAAAAGTTTAGTCCTCGCAAAATTATAATTACTAATTACAAATTGTGTTTTCAGTCACAAATATTTCGTTATTAATTCTGTTCCCAATTTTCATTCACATACAATATTAGTTTTTTTTAGTTTTTTAAAAAGTTACCTAGAATGATTCAAAGGTCTGTCTTAAAAGATAATTTTGTAATAATTAAATTTGTTTTGTTGAATTTACTAAACATCGTCCTTTTAGAACATTCCAAGAAATAGAAAATTTCATGTCTTAAAAACATTTTTATGTTAGTTTACGTAGCAAATTTTAACAATTTAAGTTTCAAAGAAAGTCATTAAAAAGTTCGTTAGTCTTACAAAATAATCATTTAAAAAAGTTTATTAGAAAAGTATTCCGTCGATTTCTCTGAAATGTATGATTTTAATTTGAAAAATAAGTAAAATAATGCGACATTTAAAAATGGGAGTTACTCAAAAAATCTAAAACTGGAATATCTTAAAGTTCTTGATTAATAACTACCGAGTAATATCGCTGTCTCTAGGTAGTAATTGAAATTTGGATGGAGAAAATTAAGATGAAATATGGTGAGTTTTCCTACTGCAAGACCATCAATTTTCTTTAAAATCAGCATTAAAAATTTCCATTATTAGTCACGATTGCCCCTCTTTTCTATTTCATTTTATTTTCAGAGACTAATTTATGTTTTATAATTGATAATTTTTCTAATGATGAAATAAAAAAAATATCATAATGAAGTTATTAAATTTTACAGTTGAGTATTTAGTGTATTTTAATGGTTAAGTAAAGCTTTAAGGAGAATATTACTTTTCAAAATATTTTCAATTCCGTCCCTGTTATCTTTAAAACACATTTCAAAACACATTTAACATTCACATATGTTTAAAATACTTTCATTTCGTTCATCGTGGTGTGATAACTTCAAAACTGGTTTATAATAAATAAATGGAAATTAACTTCGTGAAATTGTAGCAGTTTTGAGAAAAGTTTTGTCACCACTCTTTAATTTTTTCTGGTACTTGGGTACCTAATATTTGGTAAGACATTGGGTAGCTTAGGTTTGAAATTGTTAATTTAATGTGAAGGTCACACAATATTTAACTTTTAGTTTTAATTTTACATTGAAAATAACATCGTAAAAGTGATTGTTAAAACATTTCATTTCATCCAAAAATGGACGAAAGATATCGTAATGCTCCGACCACTACTTTATAACTAATAACGCTGTGACTTGCGTCTACCTTCAACATGAGTTGCAAATTCCCTTTTATTATATTTTTTTGAGGATAACAGAAACGCTAACTTTTAGAACATTTTTATGGTAAGGAACAATAGCATTAACCTTCTGAGACACAAGTTTTAAATAACGATAGAAAAAAGAGTGTTTACTTAGAAATGTGTTGTTAGAAGAATGTAAACTCATACAATCCATAGAATATTTTTAAAAAATTCAATTAATTAAAGTTAATTAACTTTTCAGGTCTATTTTTAATTTTTTAAGTAAAAAAAATATAAATTTTATTTTTTAAAATCTTTTACTTAAAGATTAGTAATAATTATTAATTGCTTCGTAAAGGCAACAGAAGAAAAAAATCTTTAACTATTTTGTATGTGATAAAATTGAACCAAATGTTGCTGGGTTTCAAGCAGTTTAGATTTGGTTTTTAAAAATTAAATAAGTATAAGTTGATGATAACATTAATCAGAATACAAGCAAAACAGTTAGCTTATCATTTATGTTTATAATACACTGGTGTGCAAAACTTAAGCAACAAGTGCGTTTTTTGTCATAACTCTACAAGAAATCATCCGATTGACATGAAATTTGAATATGTTGTACATTGTTTTGTACTTAAACGATGGCAAAAGAATAATGGCGCAGAAATGAATATAAAGCTTAAAGTAGGGAATGGAACAAAAAAAAAAGGCTTTATTTGACATATAGTGGCGTTACACATGATTGCCTGAAGAAGAGTAAGTACAACTGGCAGATGTTCCCTAGTATGGGATATGCCCTTCCCTTACTGTAATTGTCGCTTGTCCTCGTCTCTCCATGCTAAGCACCAGATTATTCAGGAGTTCTTGGGGTAAACGTCTCCATTCCTCCTTTAACGCATCTTTCAGCTTATGGGTGTTATCAGGAGGATACTGTCGTGTCGCAAGACGTCTCCCTAATGCATCCCACACATGCTCTATGGGATTTAGATTTGGAGAGTAAGCTGGCCAATCCATTCGTGTGATATCTTCACTTTCCAGTGGCACTTGAACATTAGCAGTACTGTGTGGCCGGGCATTGTCATCCATAAACATGAAATCTGGAACAATGGCCCTCGGAACAGACTCACATGGGGTAGGATTACCTCATTGCAGTAGCGGTCTCCAGTTACAGACCCTCGGTCGAAGATCTGAAGCTCAGTCTGCCCGTTCAACATAATGCCACCCCAGACGACAACTCCAGGACCACCATAACGATCTCTTTTCGCGATGTTATTGGGATGAAATCGAGCTCCAACCTCTCTCCAGATCAACTGACGTTGAGAATCGCTTGTAGCACTAAAACGACTCTCATCTGTGAAGACGACGCGACTCCGTTGATGAGGTGTCCAGGTTTCGTGTTCTCTGCACCACTCTAAACGGTGCCGCCGATGGCTAACTTTTAAAGGTATGCAGCGTTCAGGACGTATAGCAAATAAGCCACGTTTGTGGAGGCGTCTGGCCACTGTAAATCTTGATACTTATCGTCCTGTGGCTGTGCACAGTTGCTGAGATATGGCGCTCGCTGACTGAAAACAGTTTCTTTTCACCTGGAGGACAATGTAACGGTCATCTCTTGGTGTTGTTTTCCTTGGACGGCAACCACCAACCTTCCGAACAGCTGTACCAGTAGTTTTAAAGGCATTCCAAGCACGAGAAATAACACTTTTGTTGATCCCGAACTCTTCGGCGACACTGGTCACACTACGCCCCTCTTCAAGCTTCCCTATCATTCTTCCTTCCCTACCATTCTTCCTAAATGATTTCTTGAAGACGTGTTTCACAAAACAAATCACTTGCACTTGCAGCGAATGACTTTAACTGCGGTGCTCTTCATCCTTTTATCACAGGTTTGACCTGCGCACGCCGACCCACAAGGTTTACGTACTTTTACATCACTTACGACGTTTTATTTCTAAAATTTGCATACAAATAATCTCTTAACTGAATTACGTGCATATTATACTGCAATTTCATGGCTATCTTATACTTAGTTGGGAAGCTGTGGCCGAAAAACCACTTGTTGCTTAAGTTTTGCACACCAGTGTACTTTTTTTCTTCTTTCCAGAAAATGAAAGCGATATGGATAAACAAACAGTCAAAGATGAGTCTAATAAGGCCGGCAGCTCAAATTGTTTGGAACAGGATACAAAAGAGCATGAAATCACGATGTTATATCCGATTGAAACATGGAATCCAGTCTTAAGCACTACATCCACATGTATCTAAACGTAATCATGGATTCTGCAGTATTCCTTTAACAACCAGCACGGGAACATTTTGGAATCATAATTTCTGTTATAATGTTTGCATATAGTACTATTAAAAATGAAAAAGTTAATTTTAAATTGTTTTAATTACAAGTTTTACAATCTAATTCCACTTTTTTCTTTTTCAGTGAGAAAACAACACATCGTATTAAATTCTTTGTGACTTCATTAAAATATTTTCTTAACCACTTGCGCTGGCAAAAAAAATCACTGACGCGTGTACCAGAACGGTCCAGTATAACTCGCTAGGAGGGTGTGCGATGCCTCAGACTGCAGTGCACATTGTGCGAAGCGTGTTTCCACACCCATTCCTTAGGAATAAGATCAATTTCACTGTCTTCGTTTATGTATTCTTCCTCGTCATCAGAAAAAATTCTTTGTCACTTTCGGAGTGGAAAAATTATTTCATCAAAGTCACTATCACTACTATCGTGTTTTCTTTTTCTATTTGTCGAAATGATGTCGTTAACGTCACTTTTGCTTTACATTTTAGAATGTGGGTTAAATATTTATAACTGTACGCTATGCAGTGCACTGATGATCTGTACTCTGACAACTATTCCACCTGACGTGCCACGCATGTCGTTTTTGTTTCTGTAACAATTCCATGATGACGTAAATACCACGTCGTCAGCGATTCTGTGACAAAAGCATTAAGACGTGCGTGGCACGTCTTAATGCTTGGTGCAAGTGGTTAAATAAGCGCAAGTGGTTAAATAAGTAATACAGGTAAAAAAAGGCTTTCTATTTACATTGCAAAGTTGCTAACTAATATGCGATTTGAAAAATATTTTTTGAAGTGTTAAACAGTCAAAAGTTAAAGCTTTCACAATTTTGAGAGGTTTTGGCAACAATTTAAAAGCCTCACCACGAGAGAACTGGATGAAAGTGCCGTTTTATATGAAGTTTTGAATCAGTTAGGTATAGAGGTGTGAAAAATAACTTTAAATCAACACAGAAATAAGCATTACAACTTAAACCGTTTTAACACTTAAAGAAATTTTCCCACAAAGCATTGCAATTCCTGACATTCTATTTCGATAAAATAATCTGCAATTTTTAAATATACTGATTTTTATCAATTTACGTTTGACTCAGTTCATATAAAATGCAAAAAGCAGATTAACTTATAAAAATTAATTTTCATCTGAGAGTTTCATGCACTGCACTAATTTTGAACAAAGAATTATTTTTTCTAAAAAACATATTTTGCTTAAAATTATTTTTTCCAAGTCTTGTCTTTCAATCTGTTTATTCTTATTTTATTTATTTTTTCGAAAAATCGTTCGCGCACGATCTCTTGACTTCTAATAAACCTGTCCCGTAGTGGACTGATCGTTAAGACACGGTTCCCAGCAGATCACCGAAGTCAAGCATCACTGGCTGCGGTCAGTGTGCGGGTGGGTGACCTCTTGGATCAGTCTGCGTAAGGACCGAGGGTGTGCGGTATTGGTTAAACTGTTAACTGTTCTGTTAACTGTTCGTTAAACTGTTCTACCGTAAAGTGTTCTATTTCTCGTGCAGGTCGTTGGGCTACCGAAGTGGGGCTGCCATCCCCTCAGCAGAGGATCAAAATTGTGATGGCTTGTCTTCGGATCATCCTCAGGGATGTTTCCCAGACCGTCGCCAATAGCCCATTGTACAGCTCTAGTGCGACGTAAATTAACTACAACAGCAACAATCTAATAAACCTATTAGGTTAAAACTTCGGAATTGGTTTGGTGTTTCCGACCATGGATTGCCTTTCAAATCCGAATCCTTTTATGTCCCCTACTCTTACCTTAAAAATTTGTCCCAATTATCCTGGCACGTCATCTGTATCTAACTTTCTTTGTAATTATACTAGTAGTTAAGATATTTTGTAAAATTGACCGCAGTCTGTAACTTTGATAATATAATAATGGTAAGCGAAACTATTTGTTGAAAAAAAAATTATTACAGCTGCGATGACAATATTTTTATTTAAAAATACTCGATCTTTATTAGCTTAGATAGGGCAATTGTCCACAACTCAAGCCTTGAGCAGAAATTCGTCCTGGTGGTATCCTTGTTCTATCAGATTTCCTCTCTCCAAGATTCAGGTGACCAGATGGGATGTCATACCAGTTATGATTTGTTTTATTATAAGGCCTTATGCTTTTGAACTTACAAAATGTGTCACCTGGTTGAGTGGCTGCAAGCATCACCTCTCTTTCTTTGAGAATATTAGAGTAGTCAAAATCCAATGAAGAAATATCAGCATGCAAAAGCTTTGGAATATGGTTTATGCCGGTAAAACGCATCGGATCATGGGGATTTCTATGGGATCTTGCCATTCCGAAATACCTTGTGAGCGTGTCTTTCATTTCAGGATCGTCCTTGGTGTACACACTTTTGGATCTGAAATATTTTTAATATTTTGTAAACACAGTTGCAAGTTTCATTCCCTGGACAAGCAAAAATAAAAATTTTAGTTCTTGGAGGCAAAATTTATGAAATTTATTACAAATTTAAAGTGATTGCCGACATTTTGAAGCAATCTATCCCTAAACTTGTTCACACCTGGTCAGATAATATCTCTGTGAGTTGGGAATAATTTAAAAGATACTCTTTATAAATAGAATAGGTCTCACGATTTCTCCAGTCTTTGCACTTTTCCCCTTTTCGTTTTAATGGTTTCGTTAAATCTTACTTTTTCCCATGCTTACTTTTTCCTATTTCAACATTTTACTAAAACGTACCGAAGAGGGAAAAAACAAGATTTTTCGAAACAATTGTAATGGAGGAGGGAAAGTGTGAAGACTAAGGAAATGAAGTATCCTTAATAAGCTTATTCTTTTTACTAGAGTATAAATGATATATCTTCGATCACATTAAAAAAAAGTTTAAGTTATCTCTTGTATATTTACTTTCAAACCAGAAATATTTTATTTTGTGAAAATGCAACTTCTTTCTGAGAAAGACATAGATAATTTCAGTGATCACGTCAGAATGACGTAAAATATATAGATTTATTAAGAAGTTTTCACCTTAGGAATTTTTTGGTGAGTAACAGACTTCGTCATTCTGGTCAATCTAGTTTACTGTTGCACTGCTTCTTACTTGGTAAGAGAATGACATTGTCTTATTGTGATTCGCTAGGGCAAGTTAATGGCACTTAGTTTTTTTCTAATTCAATAATTTAATTTTAAATGATTATTAAAAACTGATGGTGCATTAGAGAAATATATAGACTCCGAGAGGTTATATTTGTTGAAATTGATACTTTTGAAAAGTTAATAACTTTAAGTTAAGGTAAGAAAGAAAAGGTAAAGAACTTTTGGAACAGGTTGAAAGAGGTCTTAAAATTATAGATGTATTGTAATTTCCATTTACGGTTGGTATTCTTAGTCAACTGACAAGGAAGAGTGAAAGTACTGAATAATAACAACTGTGTTCCAACTATAAAATCACTGTCTATACGAGATTACAAGATATTTGTAAATTCTCCTAAGAGAGTATACATCTCTTACAAACTTGGCAAGAATATTCAGTCTCAACCTCTAAGAACTATTTTTATTTTTATTTATTTATTTGTTGTTACACATGCGTATATAAGCTCGATGCGCATCACAAGGAATGGCTTATGAATCTTAGTCAAGTTAAAGAACAAATAGCACAAATTAGATAATGATATAACACTAGTGTAGGGGTCAGGGAAGTGGGAAATTCAGGGTTCGAATCCTGGACAAGGCATGGATGTTTCTTTATTTTCTGTAATATCTGTCCTTACTGTGGGAGCAACGTTGGCCCACCTAATATGGTGCCACTGAAAGACTGGCCAACAACTTTGCCCTAATAAGCCTGAATTGACGAATATCAACCCAGGTGGTAATGAAAAGAAAAGACATAACATTCAGGGAACGGCAAGAATCGAACTCGCTACCTCAATGCTATAGAAAATTCGGCACAACTTTAAATTCAATTTGCAAGGCTTTTTATTGCCTAAAGTACTTCCATCTGTACTTATTAAAATCTCTCGAATATGTTAATATACTTACGGAACAGGGGATTCTAATTCCCATTTGCAGCAAATTCTTTTTTCTGCGATTATAGGTGTATATCCTGGTTCGTAATCACAAGGGCATGCATATTGTCGGCACACTTGTGCACAGTGATGATCACATTCTCGTGGACTACAATCAGCCATTTCAATGAATGTTTTCGGAGATCCTTAAAAATATATTGAAAAATATTAAGTAAGAAGAATGTAGTAAGTTAAAAGTTGTTTCATTAATGGCAACCCGAGTACTTTACTGAACAGTGCGCCAAAAAAACGGACCATCCTGAAAAACTTTCGATCTAATGATAGGATCTTCACGTTCTAGGACTCAATCTTAATGGTTCGAGGGGGCAAAATCAAATATATTAATTACTTAGGGCAGACGATATTTTAAGTTACGAAATCGAACATAAAAACGAACTTTCTCTGAGTAAACATATATTTTTTTCAACGGATTCGTATTTCTAAACCCCAAAATATAGGTGGTAGCCGCAATCTGAGTGATCCAAAGTTTGGACCCCATAATGTTAATTTTTCTTTTTGCCTATTTCACCATATCTCGAGAAATTTGCAAGCAAATTGCACACAATTATAAAATTCGTTTATCCAAAGATAATTCTAAGCAAAAAATAAATGTTAGTAAATATTTACTATTTTTCATTATTTTATTTAGTAATACATAGTAGAGAAAAAAAATTTAATTGTAAGGTGTGTGATTTTTTACATCATTTTAAAGAATGTTTTTTCACATGGCAAAATACAAAATTTGTGCGAAATCCGACGAATAGTTCCTGAAAAATCGAATTTTAAATATACGACTTTTTTAAAATTCGATTCTGACCAAACTATGGGTACCATATTTTCCAGATTGCAGCCATCCCGAAAAAAAAGTATGTTTATTCAAGGAAAGTACGGTATTGTGTCTCATTTCCAAGGTACCCGCGGGTCTTGGAAAATTTTAAAAAAGGGTAACGAAAATTAAAAATATCTCGATAATTTAATTTCTGTATAACCACTATAGAAGTTATTTTCCAAAGAAAGTATATATACATGAAAAATCCAAATTTTTAACTTTTTAACAACAAAGTGGTATGTTAAAATAAGAAAGATCCTTTAGCATTAACATTAATTTACTACCACAACTAAAATTTTAAATGGACCGCAGGAAACTTGCTTTTCATTATTTTAAATATAGTTTGCACTAATTAACTAGCATAGTCACCCACACGAGCCATTAAGATTGAAAGTGAAAATCCGATCATGAGGTCAAAAGTTATTCAGGCTATCCGTTTTTTTTTTTTTTTTNTTTTTTTTTTTTTTTTTTTTTTTTTTTTTTTTTTTTTTTTGCGCACTGTTTATCTTGTCATATTTTTATGTTTTAATGATATTTTAATGTTATGTTTTCATTGTGTAATATTTTTACGTTTATGTACGTTTTTTTATATATTTCAATTATGTTTTATTGCTTTTCTCGTCATCATCTTATTTGGTAGATCTTTTCACGTAAATACGATTGCCGCGAAAAATATCGCCATCTCGTTTCTAAAATTACATTAGTTTTGGTAACGAAAAAATTGCTTTAAAATGTCTACAGGGTGTTTAAAAATATTTGATGTAAGTGTGTGGGCAAATAGAGGAGGTACAGATAAGTCATTTGGCTGACAGGAACAAGGAGTGTCAAATGCAAAGGGTAACTGCTACAAGGGGGAAACATTGTTAGTAAATCAAATAGAAGAAAACTATATGATATATAGAAAATTTGATGAAATTTTCCACCTTGTTAATATGATTTTTTAAAGTCAAAATATAAAATTTACAGTAATTATATTTTTCGAGAAGTACGCATAAATTGTTCTAAAATTGTCACTTTCAATTGTCTTAAGATTCACAAATTTCTTATTTTTGGGTGAAAGATTAATTTTAGTCGAATCAAATTTAAATAAAAATTTAAAAATTAGAATTGTAAATGTGGCGTTTTTTTTAAATTTCATACTAACAAATTGGATGATTAAATTGTTACTTAAATAGTAAATTAATTTTGGCATTGATTTAATATTGACAGACTGGATGTCTAATCTGTTACTTAAATAGAAAATTAATAGAGATATTAAAAGATTACCAAGCAAATTTTGATTCCTTTTACAAGATTTGGAGTTAAGCAATGTGTCAAGCAGTTTGGAATTTTTATTAACTTTATAAATTATATACGAAAGACTAACCTGGCTTATAGCTCGTTCTACTCTTAAGATAATCATCATTGACTCATTTATAGACCGCTGACAACCGTATTTCTGCCTGATTCAATACAATAATACACGTTTTAAAAACACATGATGTTAGCCCAACAAGGACAACATTTTAATTGTAATTTCCTTTTCGCAGAACCGTCTCTATGTCACATCCCGTGTCACGCCAAGACATGGACGTGACAAATAGGAGAAATTCACCAAATAGACATTTAACTCCTAATGTTTCAGGGCTAATTAAAAAAGTCAATATGATTTAAAAAATTAAAAAAAAAACGAAAAATGATATTATTAAAAATACCTAATAGGAGTTATTAATATTTAAGTCCTGTGTTAAAAAAGTGGGAAACTTTACCAATGTGTAATAGTGCCTAATAGATAGATAATGCAATAGACAGACTTGATTGTTTCTCTCTAATTTCTCTAAATTTAAGTACCGTCTCTTTCATTCACATATGTACATATGTTCAGAAAAAATATGTGTAAGCCCTCGGAACAAAGTTCTCAAATTGCACTTGCTCAGCTACTTCAGAACACACGCACACGAACGTACGAGATGATTTGTGAAAATATTAAAATTTTCCAGACAATGAAGTATTAGGCATGCACTTCAACTGCCTCGGAATATTATAAAAGTTATAAAAACTGTGGTACACAGTAAATGTAATGTGATTCCGTAACGAAGATGCACTAAGAATTTAGTTCAGAATTTAATAGATTTTACTAGAAGCACAGCATATAAAAAATTTACATTAATAACATATTTCACAATCTATATTTTGTTTAAAAGGAATAATGGTGTATGTCATTTATATGACTATGTATTTTATTCAACATTGAAATAAATTTAAGAATAATAAAAATGATAAGAAATCAAAATATTTAAAATAAATCGTAATTTACTTTGAAAAGGTTTTTTTTTGTCTTTATTAACAAACAACATCCCTTAGAAATCAATGTGCTTTTTACGGAACTAAAAAATAAAAAAAAACAAATGACCAAAACGATTGTAAAGAACTTTATAAATTCAATTAAAATTAATATAAGAATCCAATTTTCCAATGAGGCGAACCGGGTTCGAATACCAGTCAATACGAGTTCCGCATCCGGTTTGCACCGACCACAGTGCTGACGTGAAATATCTTCAGTGGTGGAGGGTTCATGGGTTAGAGTCCCCCTTGCCGTTAGGCTAACCGTGGGAGGTCTTCCTCTCCATGTAACGCAAATGCGGGTTAGCTCCATCAAAAAGTCCTCCACGAAGGCAAATCTCTCCCAATATTCGATTCAGCAGTTCCCTTGTCTTCTGGATTGGGTTCAAAATTACAAAGCTACGGAGTTGAACATTAGTAGTTCTAAACCCATAAAATTGGGTCGACTGTTGAACGACGGTTATAATACAAAATAAAACTTATCATTCTACGGCACTACACTAACTGATAGTTGAGTGTAGTGCCGAAGCGTGGCGCTAAAACGGTTTGGGCCATACTGTTGCCATTTTGGAGCGCATCGTTAAAAAACACGTCGTCTTTTATTCATTCTAACATAAACGTGAAAACTATTTATATATTTCTTTGTCGTTAAAACTGATAAGAATTTCTTTTAAGATACCATTTTAATACTTACGTTTGGTAGTTGGTATCCCACCATATTCCTAGAAATTGTATATTAGTGTTTAAAAGTTATTGCTAGCTCAGAATATTAATACTTTTTAAGTTTGAATTAAATGGCAAACACTTTTTTTTTCATGTTTGAACTATTTGGCGACATTTTTTTTTCTCGCCTTTATATTTTTCGACAATTATATTTCTTTAACAGATGTCTAAGGTAGTGACATTAATCTGAAAGATACTCTTTGTTTCTTTCTTGTTTGTTTTCTGCACCGGCTAAGAATACATAATCGTTAGGATTAATGTCTCTAGCTGATGTTAGGGTTAAAGTGAATTAGCGGAAAGTCTAGAGAATTCATCTCGACGTAGATCGTGATGAGCATTCTGAAGAAAAAATTTAACATGACTAGACAATCATAAATCCCTGTACAAAATACTTATAGCATGTCTTGCACGATAATAAAAATGGTTTATAATAATGCTTTAATATGAATAAAACCATCACAGAGTTACGAAATTCAATTTGTGTAAGAAGTTAAGGTTATGAATCTTAAAGTAGTCGGCATCCGTTAAGAAACATTCTTCAAGTTTCGGCATTGTTTTTTGGAATTTTTATTCTTCGAAAGAATTTATGCCATTAAATTTGCTCTCAATATTTTTAGCTGTTTAATATTAACATATGTAAANTCTAAAAATATCCTAAATTGCGACTTTAATTACTGAGAAATTCTAATTTTTCGTCACTTCTAACTTACTTTTTTTTACTCTATTATGAAATAAATTAAACTCTAATTATCAAATTTATTTTTGGCGCTATTGATGATTTAATTTTATAATTTTTTAAAAATGATATTTACCCTGAGGAATATTGTAATCATATCCATAATAATAATTTTAAATTCTTTTTGGATTTAAGTATAAAAAAATTTAAATTAAGAGAATATCTGCGCTGTTGACATAAGCAATAAAGCGAATAATTTTAAGTTAGATATAAGTAAACAAATTACATGGAATTCTAATGCTTCTAAAAATATTTAAATACTATTTTCAATCAAGTAGATAATAATAAAATTAAAAGGCGTTGTAGTAATATTTATCCCGCCCCCCCCCCTTCGAAAAAAATATGCTTTTCTAAAATTTAAAAACAAAGATTATTCACCTCATGAAATTAAATTCCATATAAAATCAATAAGTTAATTAAGTTTATTAAAATTAATAAAATATATATTTGTATGAGATACTCTTAATTATCTAGATTAATATACATATATTTTCGTCTCGTCTAGATAAATTCAGAGAATTTAAAATTGCA